TTTTTTTTTTTTTTTACTGGAATATGTGTGACTTAGTATTGGGAAGGAAAATAATCTTGGGCTGTTGCCAGAACTGAGGGGACAAAGTGAGGTTTGAGGGGAAAAAATGACCAAGAACTCGCCAGGGACTGGGGGCTGGGCAGGGGATACAACAGGTTGAGAGAAGCAGCGTTAGCATTTATAACCTCTAAGTTAATGTATAAACATCAGAGATATACACTAGATCAAAAATGGGAGTGACATGTTCCTCATAGCTCAATGAATTCTTCTAAATTAAGAACTTCAAGACATCTGTAATAATCCCAGAGTAAGAAGGTGATATAAAAATTAAATGTTTGCATGTATTAGGGTACCAAATATATTTTTATCTAATTAAACTTGATTAAAACAGAACTTTTCTTTTATGTCCTTTGTTTTATAGCATACTGCCAAGTATCTAGAAATTACTTAGCAATATTATATTGTATTAATCAAACATCAATATTTTGAGTAAGCAATTTCAGGTTGGAAAGAGTTAAAGAAAATACCGTTCCATGTGAGTTCTTAAAATATAGCAGTTTTTTTTGTTTGTTTTTTAAGGCAGCAACTGCTCTTCTAGCAAGCCATGTATTTCCCAATAAAAAATCTAAGTCTAAAAAGATTTAAGGTAACCTGTTAATGTGGTTAACACTGAAAAAGCTGCATTACTGAGGTTTGACTTACCATACTGTTCCAGCCTGCAGAGCAGAAGACACTGTTATGGCTTTATCAAGGTCTTTGGTAAAGATTCCTGCTGATAACCCATAGTGAGTATTGTTTGCTCTCTTGATCAGGTCATCTAAAGATTTAAACTTCATGATTTGCTGCACTGGTCCAAATATCTATACCATAAGAAATGGATTAAATAAATCAAAATGATAGATTAAAACTATATATTTCACATGATACTGCATCTGTTTTTTTTTAGAAACTATCTTAAATTGATTAAGATTTTGCTTCTATTCTCAAACCTATATGTAAGAATACAAACAGGTAGCTGCAGAAATGGTAGGTCAGAGTAGTCAGTGGTCATGTGTTAAGTTCTCTTTGGAACAAGATAGGACGCAAATAATTAAGGCAATGTTCATTTTATACATGTTGGACTGAAGCTTCCAAGAACTTATAATTGTGCATCAAATCATTAACTTCAGAACTTCTTTTTCATTTAGGGCCATTTAAAATTCTCTCCCTAATTTTCTTCATCTTCCAAGTCACTACCTATAATAATAAGCTCCAGAAAGCAATGTTTGCTCTTCTAGATAAATGAATAGGCAATGATTGATAATAGTAATTGTCTTTTAAATACTAGTATACCATTGGTTGAAATATTAACTATTTTACTATACTTAATATTTTCATAATTAGTCAAGCTTGGTAAAACAACACGAATTTTTACTCAGATTCTGCTCTGTACCCAAATCTCAACGCAACTTACATATACTAAACAGAATGGTTCATTAGTGCAAGAGCTTAAATCTTGAACCACCCTGTACCAATCAAAGCTTGAGTTCATTGGCAATGGCTATAGTTGCTGAAAAAAACTAAAAATCACCATTTGCTTATTTTAGCCTAAACTACTCTCACTTTTGCTAGACTCTCTATGTAATGCAGCCCAAACTCGAGTCATTCTGTATTTCGGCCCCAGGTGGCAGAAAGACAACTGGATTTTCTCTTTAAAACTAAGCTCCTACATTATATTTCAATAAGACATGTATTAAAATTAAATAAAAGTCGGCATTCCATTGAGTGTTACCAGAATTTTCTGGGAAACATGAATGAGGGGAGGCAAAAATCAGAAGTGACAAATGGTTTTCTGGTGTTTGCTGCTGCTTTAAATATTAGAGGGGTGGGGGTTACCAGTCAATAGAGACTGAGTACATGTTTCCTAAGGTTGTAAATCTAATCTTGAGATTGTAACCTAGGAACAGACATATAGCAGCTGGTGCAATAAATGTGTTCATATTTTACATAATTTTAATTGAATATAGCACATGGCTCCAGGCTCCCACTTTGAAGTAGCAAGCTAGCTATGATGAATATTGCAGCAATACAATAAATGTTTCCTTGACTGAAGATCTTTTTCCTAGTCCTTTTATCTGGTATTAATCAAGATATGCAAGAACAACATCTTCAATTTTTCTTCCTGATTTTGTATATTGTAGTTAAATATTTGGTGAGCATGTACATATATATTTATATAAATGTATATATAGACATATATGTATGTATTCATTTATTTATACATTATATATATATACATACATATACAGTCACCAAATATTTAACTACAACATACAAAATTAGAAAGTCAAACAGCTAAAAAATACAGGGTAACAGCACACAGATGGTGGGGAGTGATATTGGGATGAATGCTATTTTCAAATATATAGATGGTTGTTATGTAGAAAAAGTCCATAGGGCAAATATGGAGCCAGCAGGTAGAATATAAGTATTTTTTTTTGTGTGTGTGTGGTAAGAACATTTAACATCTACTCTCTTCATAATTTTGAAGTATACAATACGTTGTTATTAATTATAGCCACCATCCTTAGAACAGATCTCTTGAATTTATTCCTTCTAGCTAACTGAACTTTTACATACTTGACCAACATCTCCCACCCTCACACCCCACTCCCCCTAGCCCCTGGTGACCACCATTCCACGCTCTGATTCTATGAATTTCACCTTTCTATAGGTTCTACATATAAGTGAGATCATGCTGTATTCGTCTTTCTGTGCCTGGCATGTGTCACTTAGCACAGTGTCCTCCAGGTTCATTTATGTTGTCACAAATGGCAGGATTTTTTTCCTTTACTTTAAAGCTGTGAAGGAAGCACCTAGAAATTGCTCAGCATCCTGATCTGTTTGGCTGAAAATTTTTGGCTGGCTCAATGGGTTCCTTACTACTTTTAGTCTTGATCACAAATAAACCTTTATGAGAAATAAAGAATAACATGTTGAAAGATGTTCAAAGAGGCGAGAATCTTAAAGGGACACTCCGTATACACACACGCAGGCGAAGCAAGGCAACAACAGAACAGAATGAAATCATTTACCTCCTCTTTGGCGATGCGCATGTCATCTGTAACATTAGAGAAAACCGTGGGCTGGATAAAGTAGCCTTTATTCCCCCATGGGCCTCCGCCACATTCCAGTTTGGCCCCTTCCTTCTTCCCACTCTCAATGAGATCAAGTATTTTGTCATGTTGTTCCTTGTCAATCTATTTGAAAAATATCACATAAAAAGGCAAAAAAAAAAAAAATCTGTAAAGATAACACATTGCTGGGCCTGTTAATGAGGGTTCCGAAATGCTAAGATATTGTTATTAACTCAAACACTGAATCAAAACAGCTAACAGAGTCTCAGATTCATTCTTTGGGTGGATTTTGTTCTCAATGTTTTAGAGAAAAACCCTCAAAGATAAATATTTATATTACAGTTATGTAAGAAAAGCATGTCAGCACTGCAAACATTTCACACAATTGTCATTTATTCACTCTGGAAGAAAATGCCTGTTGATAATCTAACACAACATTTACCTGAAAACTGTAGTCCTACCTGAAGTAAAACGAATGTATGGACAAAAAGAGAACTTTGATACTGGATTTTATTAGATACAACAATTGGAAAGCAGATGCTTTTAGATTTGTTTTAGAAGACTCCTGTGCCTATGTTTGGATCTCCCCATTCCTGAACCATTCCCTCTGGTCTGGTCCCTGCTCTTGGATTTCACATTCTAACTGTAGTTCAGGCATCCCCTGGTTCAGGTTTGATTCCAATGTCTGTCCTCTCCTGATTGTGACCATTGTGCCCATCATTAAATGGGCCACATCTAAATATATGACAAGTATTACAAAACTTAAATGGTCTTTTAAATAATATTTTTAGAAGAAAAAAATGAGTTCAGAGTTCTGGTTGTGAACACCAGAAACACATTCCTCTTCCCCATGCACTGGAATTGGGAGGTTGCATATTGATTCAATTCCTGCTTTGGGAGGTTGAATGACTGGGTAATTCTCAGTCTGTAAATCATTGGTAAAACTGCCTGTCTCAGGTGTGGAGGGGGTTAAGGATTAAAGGCAAAACAGGAGATCCAGGAGTTAAGGTGGGGGGTAGAGTTCCTTTCCAGTTTAACTTGTCTCTTTTCATTACTTAGAAAGTATTCTTTATCCTCTTCTTTAACTCTGAAAATCTGCCAGGCCCCAGGTCTCATATTTAACTATTCATAGATTAAGTGCTATTTGAAACCAGAAACTATCTTCTAAAAATTTGGCACAATATTTGATACAATGTTGTTCAATGCTCTTTAGTGCACCATATTTAATAGAACATTTCAAAAAGAAAACCTTCCCTCATTTCTCACAGGTTAAGGAAGTTGTAGTGTGGGTTTAAGAAGAAGAGATATTTAAATTGAAAACAATCCGACTAAGGGGGTAGAGTTAGAGAGACTCTGCTTGGTTAAGACATTCTAGTTTTTCAGTAAATAGTCAAGGATTCATGTACCTCCATGTAAAGCTCCTCTGTCCTATTCAAAGATATAAATCTGACTATGTCCTCAACATGATTTTTTGGTTTTTATTTCAAGATGTTTCCCAAGTCATAGTGTTTCCCTGTGAGCAGAGTGGATACTGGGTGACAATCCAATCCCTGCCTCTGGACTAGAAAGAGAGGCTGAAAGGATTCGTTTGTTGGAAAACTTAGCTGCTCACTGACTTCTAAAACTACAGGACTTCATATTTAATGCCTTGCTACCGATAGTGTGGTCCTACAGCCAGCAGCTCTGGCATCACTTGGCAGCAAAATGTGCTTCTCGGACCCCACCCCAGACCTACTGAATCCTTGGGCGATTCAGATACACAGGCAAGACTGAGGAACACTGTGCTGGAGCTTGGGGATAGTGACAGAAAATTTCAGCTATACTTAGGGACACACACACAGTTTAGTTTGGGTAACTTTCATTCAGCGTAAACATAAACCTTCTTCAATAGGTGTCAGATTGACTGTATGTGGACTTAGCCTCCTTTCTGGACCTCAGGCACTGCTCGATGCTAGGAGTAGTGAGGGCTCTCTACTGTGTGAGGGCTCTTGGCTCTCGGGCTAGTCTAGGAAATGATTGATATTGATGTTATTGTTGTAACAGTTTCGGAGTACACATTTTCATGTGTTTGAATTGGCAAATTCTCTGATTCCTTAGGCTTGATGGGTTGAAGAAAAAGACAAATTGAGAAAAGACACTGACACATAACTGAAATTATTTAGAAACCAGAGATCAACAAGAGCAATGAGAATAAAGAAGTCATTGATCTATATGATAATTATCACCATAAATATAAATTACATGCTTCTATTTATATTTATTTAACAGAAACTTGAGCAGATACAGTAAACTCAACCCTCTGATGAATTATATGGATTGTCTCCTTTCCCTGCAGAATGATCCCACAAGCTTGGTCCTGCTATCCCTATTTTACAGATGAGGAAATAGAGTTTCATGAAAATTAGATTTTAAATTCAGCCTGTAACTCAAACTCCCACCTTTCCACACTCTAACAAGATGCTACTCTGACAGTGTTAACACAGTTTATGTGGATATCATTTTCAAATTAAAAGACTGCTTTTTCCAAGTTTCTAAGGAAATGTACATTTTTGTCTATGAAGTCAAATACGAAAATCACTTTACAAATGAAGAAAAATATACATATAAACACATATGATACAAACATACAAAATATAATACATTATATATATTGCAACTGTTCCACCCCCAAATATTTTGTTTGTAATATTAGAAATTTAAAAAAACTTCTAAAAATTTTTTCCCAAAACAAACCTCTTTGGAGATTGTTTTCTCTGTAATTGTTTTGTTTTTACATTTAATGGGAAAGATTCTATAATTATATTTAAAATGCCTCAGTTCAGTCAGCCACCAGTGGACAAGGCAACACACTAAAGTTAAGTGAATGAGTGTACCTTTTCCATAAGCTGTTGCTCATAACAACAGATGAATATTTTTAAAAATAAAGAAGCTTGGGGGCTTTTCAGTCTTATTTCTCAAAGCTACAGCATACCTACTTAGCCTACTTGCTAAGTGCAACCTATGATAAAAATCTATTCATTTATATCAATTATAGTCTTCTATTAATCAGATCACTGGATTATTTACTTTAATATCCTATGAACAGGAATTTTAAAATTCTATTTTTAACTCCCTTCTCTTAAAAATAATGAGGTATTCCAGACCAATTTTTGAGTGTCTGGTTGAATTTTGCATAACCTTAATGGAGGAAAATCTTGCCTGACAAATGTCCAATATTAAGTATCTTAGATATTCTTTTTTCTCTTCTCTTCAGATCTATCCATCCACGATCTGTCATCTATCTGTCAATCAAGTGGTGAAATATTTTATTTTTAGATAGATACATAGATATTTAGAGAGAGAAATAATCACAAGAGAAAACTTAGAATCTCATCCTTTTATGGAATGGGTGACCAAGTCATATTGAATTAAATATATTTCTTGACATCCATTTGAAAAGTTACCAAACATGAAAAAATTGGAAACTACTTTTATGTATTCATTAAACTCAAAAACAAATATGAAATATAATGGGATCAATATCAAACAATTATGTCATTTGCAAATTATTTTACGGATTTTAGGTATCAATATTTGGCATTGCTTAAGTTCTAAGATTCTTCTACTTGGATATCTTGAGATAAGCAGGAAAAGTTCAAGATACTCTTCTAACTTACTTAGAATGTACATTTCATGTGTTCAGGGATCATGTCCTCCCTGTTCCTTTTGACATTGCCAGGAACCTATCTCAAGGTTTAGCTGATAGCAGGGCTCACTAAATTTCAGTTCATTGAATTTATTTTTGGCTTAGTGAAGGAGTCAAGAATAGTGTTTGGTTTCAAATCAACAGCATGGAATAGCATATAAGCTTTAGAGTGAAAGAATAAAGCCTCTAAACTTAATGTCTATAATCTAGAGAAGGATTTCTCAGCAGCAGCCCTATTGGCTTTTGGGCCAGATAATTTTGTTTGGGGGCTCTCTTGTTCATTGTAAGATGTTTAGCAGCATTTCTGGCTTCTACTCACTAGATGCCAGTAGAACTACTCTTTCACTGAAGTCGTGAGGACTTAAAGTGTCTCCAGACATTGACAATTATCCCCTGGGGGAGGCAAACAAAATTGCTCCTAGTTAAGAATCACTGCTTTAGAGCAAGATCCTAAAGGGAAGGCAGAAATTCAGAACCAAAGTGTAGAAGCTTGAATAACAGACAATGAACAGAGAACTGTACAAGGAAGAGGGAAAGGTGACCTTTGGATAAAAGAGAGAGACGCTTTTACTGATAATGGTTCAAAGGAAACTAGGAGCCCTAGGGGAATAATTGAGCTTTATTAACTAGAATGAGAAGTTTGCCACAAACCTGGAAACTCAGGACCCTTTAGGACACTCATGCTACCATTAGAGGGTCAGAGTAACTGAAGACTTTGCAGAGGATTTAGGGGCATGATCTCTATGTCTGTGGGATGGCAGCTGAGATGGAGGATTAATTCAGAGGAAGAAATGATAGGAAAGTATAAGAACTTCAAAGTGGACAAAGAACTGTATATAGGAATCAAGAGGTGTGCAGATTGAGGAGAGTAAGAACTTTATAGCATTTGCTAATTTCCAGCATGGTTCTTACACTGTTCTAGGCAGAAAACTGGGCAACACAAAAACAGAATGATTTCTTTATCATTGGGAATTGATTTTTTTTTTAATCACCAAAATGGAACAGTATTTTTACCTAGGAAGACTCATAGATGGGAAGTAATCTTATTCAATGAAATCTAGGCCTAAAGAAGATACTTTATTCTTGTCCCCTGAAAATGCTATCCCTTCTATTGTATACTCACCTGAGGGCCTTGATTTACTCCTGGAGTCAGAGGATTTCCAAGAACGTACTTCTTAGCCCGCTCTACACTCCTTCGAACAAACTCATCGTAAATGGATTCTTCCACAAAAAGCCTGGATGCGGCTACACAACATTGGCCCTGGTGGTAGAATAACCCTTGGTGTGCGGATTCAACAGCATTGTCCACTGCAAGGAAGACATTCACATTAAAGAAGAGATATTTTCTAAAGATTATATATTTTATATAAGTATTTCTTAGAGGAAATACGGTGATAAAGAAAAGTTATGAGTTGTATAGTCAGACATGGGCTCAACACATTCCATCTCTTAACAGCCTAGTGACAAATTAATATTTCTGATCCTTCATTTACCATGGAAATAATAGTAACAAATAGCAGAATCTGAAAAAAATAGCGGTTATCATTATAACTTTAATATGGACATTATCAAGAATGTGGATTTGATAAGATCAAATCTCACTGCAAATGTTTTTATGAATATCGCCATTTGTAATCAGATGACTGTGAATCTTTCAGGCCTCATGTTTTAACTAAAGAAAATCTGAAATGTCTATTGTGTTAAATAATCTCAAAATATTCTTAAATAGCCTGATCAAGAGGAAAGTGATATTTAGGGGTGGGGGAACTAAAAAAAAAAAAAAAAAACAGCAAAAAACTACTAATACTCACCCACCCTACGACCTTATTCTAGCAAAGACATATTATTTCATATATGCCTATACATTTTTTATTACCCATTTATTTTAGGTAGTAGAATGTACCTTAAAAGGAAGAAATAGGTTGTTTCCTTAGTAGATCCTAAATAAGAATAAAGTTTTCTTTGCATTTTAATTTTCTAAATGCTAAAGATGCAACCGAACATTATAGCAATCAGGTGTTTTTATTTTGTAAACTAATCACACCTGCTTAAGTTGTAGTAGGATCAGTTCACAGAAAGGTTGACAAAAATTGGGAATCTTGTTATGTTTATAGAATGTTTAATAAGGTAGTATGTTCCCAAAAAACTTCAGTTAAGATCACAGTGGCAACATAGGCCAATTCCATGAAGCATTTGTGTTCACGGCCTCAAATACATAAAGCAGCTGTGAAAGAAAGAGTTAGAGGAACATTTGATCATCTATTTCTGCTAATTAACTTCTGTTTAGGATGTAATTTTGGAATTCTACTTGGTAATATAATCAGAATAAACTCAGAATATGATATAGTGGAATCTCATCATAATTGTAGATTTATATGTAAACTCAACTATACTTGTTAGAAAAAGAAGATAAATTATTTAAACAGTAGGTATGATTTTCTTCTGGCCATTTCATTTAATGACCATCTGACTGAGAGAGAAGGGGGATGGCAAATGTGAAACTACTGTGTTCTCATTTGGTCTCAGTGCAACATATCTCCGGGGTATCTCAGTACATTTAACATGACACTAACAATTAAGGATCTGGAATTTTAAAAAATGCATCGTGGCACCTAAATACCAAACATTTATGTTATCTAGAATTAAGGTGAGGAAATAGCAATCTATTCCAAACCAGGAAGAAATTGTGTCTGTGTTAAACTTATCTGTGTTTTACAAGTTTAGGACAATTTAAGAGATTTTCAAGAATAATTCTGGACTCTGATTAATTCCTTACACTTTGATGTTAGAAGCAAATCCTTTTGTAAAATTTAGGTTCACTGAATGGCATTATCAGACACCAGAAAGGACGAAGGGTGAAAAGTTAAAGTGGCTCATACTCACAGTCCGCATCAGCAAACACAATGCAAGGGCTCTTCCCGCCAAGCTCCAGGGTCACCCTCTTCAGATTGCTTTTCCCTGCAGCTTCTTTGATTATTTTGCCAACCTGAAATGAAGCATCACAAAGGGAGAAGGCTTAATCTGCTCTCACGAAGACAGGTTTATTTAGTATTTTAAATTTATATGATGTTTGTGCCATAGTTAAACTTCACAGCTAAATTAAATTCGGGAGAAACTCTAACTGACAATTTTCAAGATTTGGCACATTTAGATATAAAAGTCTCCCTTCTACAAGTATACAGACATAATGGAATCAGAAAAAATGCTCATCAGTAAGAGAGCAGAGATACAGAACATGAAAGCTGATCTTGATTGGCCACACAGGAGGTTATTTCTCATTTTAATCAGAACTTCATCTCTTTACAGATTGATTAGACACATCATGACCCAATCACAACTTATCTATTATGACTTTTCGTCCCTCTACTGACACCCAGAGAACTCTACCAGTCAAACTGTCATCTTCGCCACCTCCTGAATCTCATCTCTCTTTTCATCATATGCCCACCCAACCTGGGCTGCCTACATTCTACCCTTCTTTGGGGTTGAGCTCATATCTTAGCTTCTCCCTGAATCCTTCTGATGATCTAGGTAGAAACGATTCTTCTCCTGGCCTCCCAAAGAACCTCATGAAGACTCTTTCAGAGTCTATCTCAGATAGTATTATTTGTATACACATAAATCCCCCAGATTGTGACCTCCTTGGTAGCAGTGACAATACCCTAACACTGCATCCCTCTCCTCAGTAGCATCTAACCACAGTGGACTCATTTAACTGTTGATTGACAGACTTCTCTCTCTTTCCTTCCCCGTAACATACATAATTTGAACAGTGGAGTTAGAAGAAAGAAATTGGATCTGTGCTCTGTGCTGCTACTTCAGTTAGCTGGAAAGCTATTCTGGTTTCTTCCTTAATGCTAATTGCCTCTATTGTTTTCAATTTTTTTTTTCTTTGTGGATCACTTCCCTTCAAGATTATTTTCTATTGTTGTTCTTGTTTTTCTATCTCTAAAACTTGGCTTGTTTTATAATTATTTATTTTTTATCATTTTTATTGGAGCCTTAATCCACTAAAATAATCTTTTCCTTTTTTTTAATATAATTCACTTTATTTTGCTTCTTTTATTCTCTGAGTTTATTTTTCCTAATATACATGTCAGATTTAAACAAAAAAAAATTCTATTCTAACTGAACAAAAGTAGATTCTTGTTAAGTGTATGTATAAATTTTATGTGGTTACTGAACTGCTACTGTGCATTATAGAATAAAGCATTAACTAATCTAATGTTTTCATCTTAAATATTTCATGGTTCTAAATCAAATACCTAA